GGGGATTTTTTGGGGAAAAACTGCCCCCCCCCAAATACCCCAAAGTAGCCAAAAATTGTCAAAACATCGTCCTGACTATTTTTTGACTATTTTCGAATCTTCCTCCTGTAGAGGGACAGGCCCGACTTAAACCTGGCTGCGAGGGCCCAGAGCTGCGGGGCGTCGCCACTCTTAAAGCGCAGGCCATGCACGGCCGCTCCCCGCACAGCCTTCGCGGCTGGACGGGACCTGCCCTGAAAGTTCGGAGAGCTTCGCGCCCGCGGCCCAGCCCCTCGGAGCCTGGCAGCAGCAGCGAGGGCACTGGCAATGCTCGAGCTTTGGATGGGCAGGCGGCGATGACGTCCGTCGCCGCCGGCGCCCCCCACCCAGATCTGCCCAGATCCCGATGGGCATCGGATAACAGCTCCATCCCCGAAGGCCAGAAAAGGGTCGCCCAGGAGAGCATCCAACGCCTCGTTATCCGACACCATCCGGCAGGTCTTACTAACATGAACCGGCAGCTCGAGCTGCTGCGTCGCTACCATTATCAACAAAACCACCCGCGCAAGCTGGGCCGCCACGGTTCGAACGCCGCTGGTTGCGTGCAACATGATATCGTTTACATCGATCTCCGAGCGGCACGCGTGGGCCTGGATGGCCACCTCCTTAAAAATACAAGCGGTGATAATTTTCACGACCCACCTCGCGCGGGGACATCCCGCGACCGCGGTCCCGTTGGGGCAGACAGCCCGAGAGGTGGCGGCGGGCCATCTGACGCGGCGGGGACCTCCATGGAGGGAGCATAAAGATCTGAGGAGGCCGGCATCAAATCCGAAATGTCTGGCGCACTCACGAAGGGCGCCATGCGAAACGTTTTCGACCAAACGCCACAAATTACACATTTGTCGCGCCTCCGAGGCCATAAAACTTTGTTCGCGCTCCCGAAACCATAATTCTTCGTACCTTACGCAAAGTTCGCTTCTCCGAGGCAATACTCTTTGTAAGTTACGCAGTGCGCACCTGGATATCTCAAGTGGATCCCGCTCGGAGTTCCGATGTTGCTTCACGACGGCGCCCAGGGCTCACAACATAGCTCTTGCATGCCCCATTCTCCGAGAGAGTGGGCCGGCGGCAGGCGGCGAAGCCCTGACGGATAATGATCGACGGGTGGCGCGGGGCAACAAGGCATCTTGAGCCAAACTGGGTACGGAACGGGGGCGCAGAGGAGGACGAGGAGGAGAAGGACGAGGAGGAGGAGGACGAGGAGGAGGAGGAGGACGAGGAGGAGGAGGACGAGGACGAGGGAGCAGGGAGAAAGACAAGGGAGGAGGACGAGGAAGGAGAAAGGAGGACGAAGGATGAAGAGGATGAGAAGGAGGAGGAGGAGGAGGAGGAGGAGGAGGACGAGGGACGAGGGAGGAGGACGAGGGACGAGGGAGGAGGAGGTACACTCATCGCGCTACCCCTGCCAGAGGAGCGCCGAATATGGATCGACGGGGGCTTGTCTGGCGACGGCGAGCCTCGACCTGGAGCAGGCGCTCGACCCAGATCGAAGGAACGGCCCCGAATCCAGACCCCCTCCTCCTCATCCTCCTCCTCCTCATCCTTTTCCTCCTCCTCCTCTTCCCACTCCTCCTCCTCCTCCTCCTCCTCCTCCTCCTCCTCCTCCTCCTCCTCCTTGTCCTCTTCCTCCTCTTCCTCTTCTTCCTCCTCCTCCTTCTCCTCCTCCTCTGGCGCCTCAGGTGGTACTTGTTTCAGCGTCCTGGCTGTAAGGGGGGGGATATGGCAGCAAGAGGAGCAGGATAAGAAGGGAGAGGGGGGAATTAGGCGGAGGGCGGGGCAGGCTGTCACACGCTGCGCGGCGCGGAGTCATTCTGGCACCTGTGAAAGCGGTGGCGCCCAATCCTGCTCCTTCTCCTTCTCCTCTCGTCGTCGTCGTCTTCGTCGTCGTCGTCTTCCTCCTCCTCCTCCTCCTCCTTCTCCTCCTCCTCCTCTTCCTCCTCATCCCCTCGCCAGATGTTTCCCCTTCTTACTGCTTCCTCCTAGCGCGCTGGCTCAACGGTGCGCCACCGAGTGAGTCCACGTCAGAAGAGAAATCGCACTGGATAAAATCATGTAGGCCCTGCGCTGCGCCTCGGAGAACGCATCGTGTAGTCGGTCCCACTAGAGCGATGATGGAGCCGACGGGGTCTGGGGGTCTTTTGGAAGTCCCCCGAGGCCCCTGGAGGACACCAGAGGCCTCTGGAGACCTGCGAAAGCCCAAGAAGGGGCCAAACTGTCCGCCAACCTCGATCCTCGTCCTCGCCCTCGTTCTCCTCGAAGTCCTCCTCGTCCTCGTCCTCGTCCTACTCCATGACCGCATTCGCTCCTTCTTGGCCTGGGTCCACTTCCAGCACGCACTTCGGTTCCTTGGGAAGGAATGAGAGGAGAAGGGGGATGGGGAGGGGGAGGGGGAGGAGGAGGAGGAGGAGGAGGAGGAGGAGGGAAGAGGATCAATATAGAGGAGCACCTTCGAAGCTCAGTGCAGATTTCTTGGATCGGCGTTGAACCCCTCCCTGGCACGCGGAGCGCGCCAGAGGCAGCGCCGGAGTCGCCGCCAGGGAGGTCCAGCGCCGATCCAAGAAATCCGCGCGGAACTTCGACAATTTATGTTTATGCACTTGAGATTTGGAGGACGAGTGTAGATGTACGAGACATGCCCACGTGTCGCAACGCTGTTCACAGAGCTGCTGGGTGTGGCACAAGCGGCCTCTGGCGCGAGCCGCCCGTCACAGCTGAAGCTGGCCTCCGAGGGAGGAGGGAGGGGGAGGGTCGGGGATGAAGATGAGGGAGGACGACGAGGGACGAAGACGAGGGAGGACGAGGCGAGAAGGCGAGGGAGGAGGGAGGATAACGCGGAAAGAGGACGAGGGAGGCGGAAGGAGGACACGGGAAGAGGACGAGGGGGGAGGGCGAGAAAGGAGGACGACGGAGGAGGAGGACGAGAAGGATGAGCCTCCTCCATCCGTTTCCTTCTGAACAGTCGCTCCCTGTCGCAGCCCCGCACATGTCAGTAGGGCGGGTCAGGCGTTGCGTCTGAGGCTTCCTCACAACTCATCATCCTGAAGCATAAGACCCGTTGCAATTACTACGATGAAGGAGGGCGTCGTTTTCAAAATGCGACTACCACCCAAACGTCGCGCACATTCGTCTTAAATGCTTGCAGCCATTTCAAACACGGAGGGGGGGTACTTTTCAAAATGGGCCTCGCCGTAGCGCCGCGCAAATTCGTCTCAAACATGTGCGGCAACTTTGAGGATGGAGAGGGGAAGGGGCAAATGAGGCTTACGCCTTAGCGCCGCGCGCGTTCGTCTTAAAAGTTTGCAGCCGTGTAAAAGAGAGAGGCCGGGCTGTTTTTGTTAATGGGATGTTCGTTGGTCAACACATGTAACATCTGCGCGGATGGTGGACGGCTCCTTGTCAACACGGGACCCTCGCCTGAGACTGCCTCGAAGTTCATCGAGTGCAAACTCGGGCAAGAGTGGCGCGGATGGGTGCGGTCGTTGTCCGAAGCGGGGCTATCGCTGGACACCTCGCTGACACGTATGACTGTGCCGTTCGCGCTCCTTCTCGCTCGCCGGAGGGGTGCAGCACCGCTCCGCTTCCAAGCGTAGCCCTGGCGTGACCGGCAGGCCCACGGGGCGTGGGTCTTCCAAAGGGGGCGGCTCTTGCAGTGAAGAGAAGTGCTTGTAGCGACTTCTGAGGGCAGGGTTCGGGGCGGCAGGGTGTCCTGCGGCATTGCTGATGCAGGCAACGTGGACTTATTGTGGTCCTTCCCCGTCCTCCCGATGGGGAAGAAATAGGTGTGCAAGAACGAAGTCGCTGAATCACATGCGTACGCATGAGGGCTGGCGGGGGCCGATGGAGGAAGAGGAGTGTGACATGCGCGAGGCCAAACACAACCATGTTCTGTCGAACATTGTCCGTGATGCGTCAAGAAATGGCCAAAACAATGTTTGAAACAAGTGCATTTCAAGCTCTCTAGATATATCCTTTTGCATATCATCTTCTGTTGGTCGAACGACATGGCCGAATTCTTGATCAGCATCGCGATGAACGCTTTCTCCCAAACAAAGAATCGTCATCATGCGCTCCGTAATTAGGTTAGCATCATCCCGAAACCAAGATGCACAACAGAAGCGGAGGGTTTATTTGTTCTTCCTCATTTGGAACCCACCAATCCTTCTTCTGCGCGTAGCTCGCATGTGGAAGGCGCCCCTCCGATTGCAAGCCCCTCGCTGGCAAAATTATAGGCTGCGCGTGCCATGGCGCCAGTCCTGGCCAGGGCCCGTTCTGGGACAAGGATCGGTGCATACACCCTCCAGGTCTGGCCAGGACGGCGCTTACATCGACACAGAGCCCAAACAGAATAAGCATCAACTTTCGACGATTCGCGCGGATTCCTTGGATCTGCGCTGGACCCCTCTCCCTGGCGCGCGGAGCGCGCCAAGGGCCCAGGGGCGGCGCCGGAGGCGCCGCCAGGGGGACCCAGCGCCACTCCGAGGAATCTGCGCGGATTGTCGACAGTTGATATTTCTTCCATGTTTTCTTCTTCGAGCCCAGGATCGGCCTGGCCAGGGCCGGTGCAGGTGCAGAGCTTGCCGTCGCTCGGACGTCCACTCCCCGTGTTTTTGCACGGTGGTTCTAGATGCCCCTCGATGGTCCTCGCCGGAAGAAAGGCACACGTCCGAGCGATGCCAAGAGAGTCGGAGCCCTCCGCCCCCGAGATCGCCCGCCCGCGCCGCTGCTTGTGGCAGGCCGCCGCCGCCGCGCCGCGGAATGCCCCCGGCAGAGGAGGCGGGAGCCGAGGCCAGCGGCGCCACGGAGGAGTGCAGCACGGCACCCAGTGTTGGGCAGGAAGGGAGCGGGCCCCGAAAGAGGACGGGTCCTGGGTCCCAGAGCTCTTCTCGGGGACATGCTGACCCCGGTCGATCCACACCAGGGTCGGTCGAGCGTTTGCAGGACACGCCAGATCCTGCCGGATGCTGCAGGATCCTGCACCCAAGCCTGGGTCAGTGCACCCCTGGCCCTGCAGGATCCTGCAAGATCCAGCGCTCTGGCTGACCCTCGTTTGCGTTGACCCCCGTCTCTGGAGCCCCGAAGTCACCCCCAGCTGTGGACGCCCAGAAGGTGGGTGCGGAAACATGGCCGCGATGCCCAACAACAGCTGTTGTCCAGAGCCGGCGGCGACCGCTGCTGGGAAGGCGGCCTCCCGTCTACAACGGGCAGCTTCCGCGGCGACACCGAGGGCGAGCCTTGCTCGACACGAGCAAGAGATGCGGTCGGTCGTCGTGCCCAGTCTTCCCGTGCCAATTTCGATCGTACCGACACAGCGGGGAAGGGCCCATGGAAGCTCAGAGTCAAGTCAAGCCGCCCCACTCGCACGAGGGCGGGCCAACAGGGGACGCGAGGGAAACAAACTGCTGCAGGGGCCCCGGAAACGGCCAAAACCTGCCGGGCCCGTTTCCTTGGAGCCCTTTTTTGTCCACGGCGAGCCCAACCCCCGACGCCATGTTGAGTTCGCAGTGCCGACCCCCAAAAGGTCTCGGCCAATTTCCCAGGACTGGTCTTAGGTCGGGCATGTCTCCCGATAGGCGGATTTTGGACGACTGATACAACATATTTTAAATCATACTCGAAAATAAATGAAAATACTAGAAAATCGTCCCAGGCTATTTTTTATGACTATTTTTGAATATTCCTCCTGTAGAAGGACAGGCCCGACTTAAGACTGGCTTTGAACTCTGGGTAATTGTTTGACGGTCCTGGGGCGCGGGGGCCCCCCAAGGGGTTGAGAACTGTCAAACCACTCCCGTCGCGATTTGTTCCACGGAGCGAGCACGTCTGGGCCCTCTCGGCGGCGAAGGGGGGAGCAGGACGCTGGCTTTGCGACGCGGCGAGGGCGGCCAGCGGCCAGGGGCGCCCCCCGGGGGGGCCCGGTCCGCGAATGTGCCGTCGGGCTTGTCGGGCGAGCACCTGCCCTGGGGCGGCGGGGGCGAGAGCGGAGGCAGACGCAGCCAGGCGTGGGCTCAGGGCTGACCCCGCGAATGCCCACAATATTCGGAGGAGGAGGAGGAGGCGGATGAGGAGGAGGAGGAGGAGGAGGAGGAGGAGGAGGAGGGGGAGGGGAGGGGGAGGGGGAGGAGGAGGAGGAGGAGGAGGAGGAGGAGGAGGAGCGACACTGGCCAGCAAGAGGAATGCGGACAAGGGAAGGACGATCCAGGAAGAGAAGAGCGAGAGGCAGCAACAACGGAAGAGAGAAGACAATCCGCTGCCTTTCAAGAAGGCTAGCCTGACATCGGACGGCGAGGCCAGCCACAGCGGGGACGGGGCTCACAACACCATCCCTCCTCCCATAAGAATGCGGATGCGATCATCTCTGCGCGCCAACTGCTGCAATCGAACCTCGGCGTGCATCCGCAGCTGGGCTGAGGTTATCGAAGTGTGTTTCAAATCGTGATAGGCTTTACTGTATATGTCCAGGGCTAGAACAACGGAGGCAAGCGTCTCAGGATCCATGGGAAAATGACGCCATACGCACACGCGATCTTGCCATCCGCCGTACTGGAAGAAATTAGGCAGAAGGGGGAAGAGAAGGAGAAGAGGCTCAAAGTAGGGTAAGCAACCAAGTGCCTAAGACAATCGCCTCGGGGGGCATCGCACGCGCGGCAGCACTGCGCCACACCAAATCGACCAGACGTGCACTACGCATTGCACAACGTGCGGAGGAAGGAGGAGAGGACGCACAGAGGGAGGAGGTAATGATGATCGTGGTCAGGTAATTCTCCTGCTCCTCAGTGAGATCAGGGTCGAACTTCCGAGCACGTCGAACAATCACTGAGTTGCACGAGTAGCTGGAAGAATCAATCAAAAAGGCCTCAGCCTTTCTCTGGCGGTGGGAGGAGGGAGGAGAGAGGCCAGGCAGAGAAGTAAGATCATGCCAGTTCTCGAGCATATGTCGAAAATGCGACTCCCTCCATAGGTGCTGGAATTTCCAAGCAATGGCATAATCGCCAGAGGAGGCAAAATCTTCGAGGAGGGACTTGATATTTAAGAATGCTTTAGAATGCTCGGCAGCACGGATCAGAGCAGCACTCCCAGCGTGCTCTAGGCACCTAGCTTGGAAGGAAAGCCAAGAGAGCGCAGGGAACAGAGGAAGGGAGAAGGGAGGGTGAAACGAGGGGCAGAAATCACAACCTGTAACATTTCACGCTCAATCCGAAGCGCCTGCGGGGTTGGGGTGGTGAGCTGGGCAACGTATGAGAGCGTACTGTACACGAAAACGTTACAGTGACTAAGGGTCTTCTCAAGCCCAAGCCCCAGACTCCGAACAAAGTGGCTTTTCGCCTGGTATTTTGCAAGCGGCTCAGCCCACGTAGAACACCGGCACCCGTGCCCAAGGTGAACACCACGATACTTCACACAACGGCCGCAGCCAGCTTCGGCCATGGCGCACAGGAGCTCTGAGGACGAGAGGGGCCCAAGTAGTACTCTGACTGCTTTCGCAGAGTCGAGCTCCAAACCCATGGCAGCACCAGCCACCCGCCAGATGCGCAGGGAGGTGGATGGAGGAGGAGGAGGACGAGGAGAAGGAGGAGGAGGACGAGGAGGAGGAGGAGGAGGAGGAGGAGGAGGAAAACTGAGCACGATGTCTCCCGACGCTCATCCCACGTGGTCCGCAAAGGCTATAGGGGGAGGAGATGTCGGGTGGCAGGCGCGCGGCGTGCATCCGTAGGGTGGGGTCTCGAAGCACAGGGCGCACAGGCTCCCGGAGAGGGGGGCGTCCTTGCCTGATGCCCCTCTTGCAGGAGAAGCCCACTCCACAGACGCCCCGGTGATGGATCTCAACCCACACACCCTGATACTACGCCCGGATGGCCTCGACCACGTTGCTCGGGATCGCCATGGCGGTGAGGATCCAGAGAATAACGGCGTGAAGCAGAGGCAAAAACAGCGCGCACGTCAAAGAATGCGAGCCCATACCGAATCATGTAGCGCTGGACCATCCAGTGCATGCACTTGCCCTCTAACTCGATAATGTTATTGAGCATGTTGCGGTTTGGGACGAAACCATTTTGAACGAGGTTGCACGTGGCGGTGGACACGTGCGACATCGGCTTCTTTATGCACAGGGCGACGGCCTTGTTGCATGTGTTCGAAAGGGTTAATGGCCGTGTTTTCCCCGGTGTCCGCTGGACAATCGTGCAATCCTTCGAGTCCACACCTTTAGGGGGCATCAAGGCCCTCCCCCGATTAAACCGCTTAGGCGCTCTCCCTGTGTCCAAGATGGCGCAGCACACCGCTTGAAGAGCTCTGAGGGCAGCAAGTCCAGCACCTTGCCACGCAGAGTAGGGGGCCCCGTCAGGGCCTGGGCTGGAATCAGACTTCGAGGCCAAATTTTGGTGAAATCGTCGTAGCACAGCTTCCGATCCAGCACGGATGGCGCGTGAACCACGAAGTCTCTGAGCTCTTCCCTGGCGTCGTCGTCACGGGCTAGTTCGGCATGGACCTGGCCCGAATAATTTGCAAGCTCCTGGGCCGCCAACACGGGGTCCAAGACGGCATTTCCAAGCGGATCCTCAACAGTCCTCAGCGTAAAAGTACGGCTCCGAGTAGCCCTGGCGCTGCGATGTTGGCGCATCACGTTCAGCTTATGTGCTCTCTGTTTCATTGGCAACTCCTCATCAGCATTCCCATCAGCAAGTCCCTTGTCACTGTACTCCATTTTCTCTTGAGCGAGACGTGCGTGAAATCCCACCAGGTCGGTCAGTTGGCACGTGCTTAGACAGAAGAACCTCCCGAGGGCAGAGAAGGCACGGCACGCGCGACACAGCGCCGCAGGGTCCAGGGCCCGAGACGCACGAAGGGCAGCCAGGGCCCAAGAAGCACGTTCTTCTGCCGGCTGAGCCCCCCCGCCACTCTCTCATTTTCTTAACCATCCTGGCAGCGCAGTGCATTGCTTCAATGACTTCAGATAAGGCGGCCCCTGGATCGGAGGAGACTGCGTTGGGGAGTGCACGATCGACCGGAACGCCTCCCCGAAATCAGCAGACTTCGAAATCCAAGACGGGATTGCCGACTTCCTGGATTGCCCGCATCCAGCACGCAGAAAAAGAAAAACAGGAACATGATCTGATAACTCGTCAAGCTTTCGAACGCTCCCAATCACTCCAGAAAGAAAGTGCAAATCAATCAGAGACCCCGTCGGAATGGAAACGTAGATCCGATCCAGACGGGCAACAGAACGCAGAACCCTATTCACCCCGACATGCCGGACCACCTGATGAGTGAATCGAGCACAGAGCGGAAAAGAGCCTCTGAAAGTAGCGCCCAAGCCCGTGGGAAGGAAAGAACACGTCCCCGTCAAGAGAATACCGCCCTTGCCCAACTTCAGGGTGATTGAAGTCCCCTCCGACCAAGACCGTCGCTCTCGAAACCGGCTCCAAGCCACCTCGGATTAAGTCGAGTTGCGAGCGATCTCCTCACAGACACGGAGAGCTTAGGGTCCAAGTGAACGTTGAAGATCTGAAGAGCCTGCTCTTGCCCCCGGAGGGTATATGAGTGAATCCGCCCATCGACGATTTCGCAGTGAGAGGCGTCGGGTAGAATCGCCAGCAACCTGGGGTGAACGAGAATTGCCACGCCTCCCACATTGGAATCGCTGCAGAAACTCCCAAATCCAGTCAACTGGAATATCTGACCACAGACGGCCACTAGACATCCAAGGTGCCCCCGAAGTCCCTGAAGTAAACTATGTCGTACCTCTGACAGAGCTGATAGATGTTGTTCAGCTTACGCTTGGACTTCGACTGCGAATCAAACAAAGTACCGAAGGTCGAACAAGCATTCCAGGAGACGACGCTCAAAGAGTGCACCGGAAGATAGGGGCGACTGGTCTCAGCACCGCAGGGCCCGAGTGATGGAAGCGAGGGGGAGAACGACATAGAGGACGTGATATTGCTTCCCGCGCCAGGGGACGAGGGACCACTGGACCACTGGAAGGGCGACACAAAAAGCCGAAGCGGCAATAACAAGATTACGTATCAGCAGTTGGGTGTCCACCGTACGCCAACGAAAATGGAGTGGATACAGAAGCTGAGTGCTACAGGCGAGCGGGAATGGACACGGCAAATGACCCAGTGGAGCCCACAACACGAACCAGTCTACACGGCGAAGCGTAAAACTTGACGACCCAAAACCAGATGGGGTGACGACATAAGGAACTATCTTGGGCACAATTTGGGGCGTGAGGTTGGAATTGCGGATATTATACAGCTCGCATCAACTGAAAATTGGGATACACTGGAAGCAGGTTTCGTCCGGCACCACGACTGAACGGGCCAAGCGGATAGCTTACTATCTCCTCCTCCTTCACGTCCTCCTCCTCTAAGATTTTCCATGTTGTGAAGATCGCCACGCAGAGAGGCGCTCGGGCGCCACACCCGCAGCACCCTTGACGGTGCCCACGCACGGGAGCGTTTTGTCTTGTCTTGTCTGGGTGCCAGTGCGCCCAGACGAGGCAGAAGATGACGATGAACGAGAAGAGGAGGAAGAGCAACGCGAATGGCGACGACGATCATTGCAAGCGGTTTCATGTTGAATTCTGCTCTCATGCACATGTGACGTACAGGCGTGACGGCACGCAGCCAGCAAGCGCTCGAGGTCTACGGATTCAAGCAACCCCGCTGCCGACGAGTCTCCACCACTAGCACCAACCTGATTCGGAAACTGGGCGTGAGGAGCGTGAGGAGATAGAGAACAAGGATCTCGAGCGTAACCGTCACCATCCCGAACGCCACATGTTTGTCATCGCCTGGGCTGCGCGACCGAGGCGACGTGGTCGGCCGCAAGGGTCGCCGTGATCAAGAAGGCCGCGAGGGCAGCGAGCTGCGGCGTGATCACGTACTGCCCGCCGTCCCCGGGCTCGATCTTGTTGAGGAGGCGGCAGTCGACGTCACTGCAAATCAGGTAGTACATGTGCCCACGGTTCGGCTGGTTCCCCAACTTGTAGCCCTCGCGCATCTGCTGGGTGTTCTGCAAGTGGTTCAGCGTCACCTTCCACAACTGGTCCAGGACGCGGTTGGCCTTGCGGATGTTCCCTGGGGTGTCGGGCTTCGCCCGCAGGGCGTGCTTCTGGTTCGCGGGATCCGTCCAATGCAAGCCTTCGTCCTTGGCCTTGGCCAAGATCGCCTTCGCGAGGTCGGAGGTCGGGAACGTGATGGAGTACGAAGTGTTGAAGTTGAAGCCCCGGATGCGGAATTCCTGGCGGACGCCCTCCTCCAGGTGGCTCAGCATGGTGGCACCATGGGCATACAGCGCAGGGCCCATGACCGGCTGCGGGAACCCCACCACCCAAGTCTTGCACGGGCTGGCCTGCGAGGAGGTGTCAGACCCGTCGGAAGACGCAGTCGAGCCAGCCGGGGGGCTGACCGGAGGAACAGCGGGCAAGGCCAGGCGGGCCTCCGGCTTGCCGAGGCGCTCGACGACATCCTTCAGCAGCTCGGAAGTCTCGGGGCCCATGTCGGTGTCCCCCTGCTAAGGGGAGCCGACGATGCGGGCCTCGATGTCGGCTATGCGCTGCTCCAGGTTAGTGAGTTGGGCCTGCATGCCCGGGATGACCGCGATAGCCAACTGGACAGTGCTCATCTGGCCAGAGAGTGTCACCAAGGAACCGCTGATGGTCTTCAGGATCGTGAGCACGTCGTCCTCATGGGTGCCATTGACCTTCGGAGTCTTCGCTGGACGCCCTCCGCCACCACCTTTGCCAGCGGCTCCGTTAGAGGCAGCTCCACCGGGAGCAGCTCTGGCAGCAGGGCCAGCAGCTTCCGCCATCTTCGACTGGGACCAGGGGTCGCAAGTCACCCAAGGGTCGGTTCCCTGATGCATCCGAGGCTGGCGAGGCCAGCGGGAGGCAAGAGGGTGTAGAGTGAAAGTGAAAAGTATTGTCCGCCTGGGCACGACACCCAGGAACGCCCACGCGCAGGGCTGCCCGCCCAGGCGCTAACCGCTTGAGCCAGAGGAGGAGGAGGAGGAGGAGGAGGAGGAGGAGGAGGAGGAGGAGGAAGCGGAGGAGGAGGAGGAGGAGGAGGAGGAGGAGGAGGAGGAGGAGGAGGAGGAGGGGCAACGAACGACGAAGCGACAAGGGGGAGAAATACAGCGCAGAGCCCTGGCTGGATCGCGCACCCTCCGGCGGGTCGGGGAAGCGGCGCCAATCTCTGAGGGGGGGGGGGGCGAGAGCGGAGGCAGGCTGCGGGAGGGGTGGCAGGGCGAGGAGAAGGAGGAGGAGAAGGAGGAGGAGGAAGAGGAAAGGGAGGAGGAAAAGGAAGGAGGAGGAGGAGGAGGAGGAATAGAAGGAGGAGGAGGAGGAGGAGGAGGAAAAGGGGAGGAGGAAACGGAGGAGGAGGAGTAGGAGGAGGAGGAGGAGGAGGAGGAGGAGGAGAGGAGGAGGAGCAGGAGGAGGAGGAGGAGGAGGAGCAGGAGGAGGAGGAGGAGAAGGAGGAGGAGGACTGGGGAAGGGGAGCTTCGCTTCGCCGGATGCTCTAGGAAACAATCTTAACGACGGGGTCAGAGGCTGTCCCTCCAGACCCTGTCCCATGCGCTGCCGATGCCCACTCGGCCAGTCCGGGCCCGACCTCCCATAGGAGAGAGAGGGGAGGGAGAGGGAGAGGGGACGGGGGATGGGGAGGGAGAGGGAGGGGGGGAGGAGGAAGGGAGGGTGTTGGGACAAGGGTGCGCTCGCGCCTCATCTGACATGCTATCTCTCCCTCCCATCCCTTCCCATGCCGCAGATTTTTCTATAACCGCGGACGCGTGCCATAGCCGACCTGTGACTCCCCCAGAAAGACCAATTCGTGTTATGCGCAATCGGAAACGTGCACATGATGAGGATGTGATGGGTGAGCAGGAGGACGGGCGGGAGGAACATAATGAGGACGAACAACACCAGCAGGAACTAAAGCGGAAGGATCGGGAGGAAAAGGAGGACCAGGGAAAAGCGAAGGATGGGAAATGAGGGGGGCGACAGCGATGAAGAAAGACTCGGATTCTGAAAAATGGCCCGCGCTGGGGCGATACGAGCAGCAGCAGCAGAAGAACTGGAGTGGAAGGAGCGGGAGGAACATGAGGACCAGGGGAAGGCGGAGGAGGGTAAATGAGGGTGGGACCCCACAATGAAGCAAGACTCGGATCCACAAAAGTGGCCCGCGCTGGGGCGAGAGCGCAATTCTGAACGACGGGAGCAAAGCGCCGATCCGAAATTGAGGCCCATGCTGCAGCGGGAGCACCATTCTGAACCACCGAGAACAGTCGGATTGCAACACAACGTAAGAACGTACATAACATTTGAAACCCTGGGTGTGAAAAACAGCACGCGGAGGGGCGGGGAATCTACTGGACAACTTCAGGGGAGGAGGGGGAATAGTATCCATGTTGTTTAACTGTGCAGGGAGAGGGGTGGGGGAGAGCAGGTGGGGGAGGGGAAGGGGGGGGGGAGGAGGCGAGGGGAGGGGCGGAGCAGGGGGAGGGGAGGGGAGGAAGAGGAGGGCAGGCGCGGAGAGGGAGGGGGGAAGGCGAGGGGGAGGAGGAGGGTGGGGAAGTAGGCAGGGCGATGGAGGGAGGGAGCCAGCTGCGCGGGCGAGAGCGGGAAGGGACCTCCTCCCTCTCCCCCATGTTGCTCCTCCTCCCCCTCCTTGTCCTCCTCCTATTCCTCCTCCTCCTTCTCCTCCTCCTCCTCCTCCTCGCACGTGGCTCGGTGCGAAGTCTATTAGCCGCAGATAGATGCCTGCTGTAGCATCTGCGTACGTGCAGAGCGTGCGGAATGTTCCAGCGGCATGTGAGACATGTCTCATGTCATGTCCCCCCTCTTCCTCCCAATCCTCCTCAGTGCCTCCTACCGGGCAAGGAAGATCCGCCACCGTGCCGCGAGGCACGAGTTGGAGCGCCCTCAGGTCCCTTGTATTCTTCAATCCCCGAGAGGCCTGGGACTCTACAACCCAGGCGCGGTGCCGGGATGTGCCGAAGGCCCGTATATATGGTTTGCCCCCAGAGAGGCATCAGGATGTCCCAAGAGGCTCCCAGGAAGCCCCAGGAGGCCCAAGAGGGCCCTCAGAGGGTTCTTCTTCCTCCTCCTCCTCCTCGTTCCCCTTCTCCTCCTCTGCTCCTCCTCCTTTCTTTTCCTCCCCCAAATATTCCCCCAAGGGGGTCCACAACGGCTGGGGGGACACATAGTCCAATGGCTTGGCCAGGCTTCGGCTCAACGTTTGGCCGCATGGGCGTTTCCAAAAAGCAGGGGGCGGCGGTGATTCACAGCAAGCGTCTTCGACCCGCCGCACCATGTTGCTTGCCACAGGGGTGCGCGGCGTGTTTTACGCCTCGGCCGATGGCGCCAGCGCCTCATGAGGATCCGTAAACGTTCCAGGTCGTTGGTCTTCCCGCTCCAGACGGCCCTGATATTGCCTCCAAGACGGCCAAGCTGCTTTTCAAGACGGCTACGCTGGCCCCAAGAGGGCCCAAGATGGCCTCAAGATGTCTCCAAGACGGCCCAACATGCACCCAAAATGGCCCCAAGATAGCACAAAACGGCCCGAGATGCCCCCAAGAGGACTCTGAGAGAACCTCCAGGAAAGCCCGAAGATATCTCTCCTCCTCTTCCTTTCTCTCCCCCCACACGTTCCCCGAATCATTTCCACAATGGCTGGGGGAACACACGATCCGATAGCTTGGCCGAACTCGTGCCACAGCGTTAGGCCACATAGGCGCTTCCAAGAAAGAAGGGAGCGGCGTCGATTTGCCGTAGGCGGCTTCGATATGGCACGGGCCAATCAGGGAACCAGGCATTGTGCATAGCGCGCCACAACAGAGGGCAACTCATATGATGCCTCCCTCCTCCTTTCGGGCGTTGGCAGAACTGGTTTTAGTGGAACCTGGTTAAATGATGTGTACTGGGGGACGCCCCACCCGCCCCGTTCCACTAAATGGAACTGCCGTCACCCGAAAAAACACCAGCTACGGCAGACCTGGTTTGGTGGTTCTGGCTCATTTAGGAGCTCCGGGGCTCTGTTACTAACCGGGTCCCCTTACCTGGGGTCATGGCTATACCCGATCCTTCTCCCCCTCCTCCTCAGTGCCTCCTACCGGGCAAGGAAGATCCGCCACCGTGCCACGAGGCACGAGTTGGCGTGCCCTCAGGCCCCTCTTGTAGTCCCAGTCCTCGGGAATGGGCGCCACGGGGCCAGGACCCCACATTCTCAAATGTTCCGGGGTTCCCAGCATGCCTCGCGCGGTTCCCTGGCGCTTCGCGCACGACTTTTTCGGAGCCACGAGCCGACGAGCGTCCCAAAACGGGCCAAGAGGGCCCCGAGAGGCATCTGACCTACAACACAGTCGCGGTGGCGAGATGGACCGAAGGCCAATAGATAAGGTCCCTCCGTCTTCCTCCCTGCATCGCCGACGTCGGCGATGCAGCGGCTGCGCCGGCATGGAGAAGATCGGGCTCCACATCGAGCCGCATCGCCGATGCATCGCCGATGCGGCGCGATCCTCCGACCCCGTCTGCTCGGACCCCGCCTGGGAGGCCTACACTCTTCCTCCCCCGTCTCCCTTGCCCCCTCCTCCACCCGTGGCTGTCGGGTCACAGCTCGGCTCTCCGGCGGCTCCTCGGGGGGATTCGGGAACCCGCGGGACGTTCTCGGCGAGGCGCAGCCGCCAAAAAACATCATTACACCTGAGAAAACCCAGTCAGTGGATGATTTGGAAATTAATACTGTGGATCCTGAGATCGCTTGTGAGATCGATCGTGAGATCGATTGTGGAAGCGATAGTGCGGACGATTGTAAGGTCGATCGTGAGACCGAGAGCGAAATCGATTCAACGAGATCGACAGTGTAATCGATCGCGAGATCGCTCTTGCGATCTCTAGTGAGATCGCTTGTGAGATCGATAGTGAAATCGATAGTGCGATCGATGGTGAGATCGATACAGAAGTGGGTAATGAGATCGTTGGTGAGACCGATCGATAAGAAAATCGACCAAGAACCCGGGAACCTCGCCGCCCTCCGAAATCGGCCCGGAACCCAAAACCGGGAACCTGGGAACCCAGCGTGCGACCAAAGTCGGCGGGGCACTGTCGCCAAATCCCTCAACTTCCGCGAGCACCCCTTCAGTGCAAGCACTGATTGGGGAACTTCCGCGAGGACCCCTTCAGTGCACGCACTTATTGGGGAATTACCGAGGCTGGGAACCGCCGAGAACAGAGAAAACGTCTGAAAACTTCGAACCTCGATCCTCCTCCTCCTCCTCCTCCTCCTCCTCTTCCTCCTCCTCTTCCTCCTCCTCCTCCTCCTCCTCCTCCTCCTCCTCAGTGCCCCCCAACGTGCAAGGAAGATCGGACCGAACGCGGCACGCGGCACGCGGCGGCGCCTTCCTCCCGCACGGCGAGGTGCAGAGCACCCGCGTCCTGAACGCGCGGTGGGCCGAGCGACGCGCGGCAGGATGATGATGATGATGGTGATGATGATGACGATGCTGATGATGATGATATATGTATGTATGTATGTATGTATGTATGTATGTATGTATGTATGTATGTATGTATGCTCCTCGAACAAGTTCGGCCATGACCAGAGCTGGGAAACAGAAGACGACTGAAAAGCTCTGAAACCTTAAACGTATGCACAAGAACGCCAGGGTACGACTATACTCATGTAGTGTAACCAAAGCTTTGAACACTGGGCACTAGCATTCCAGGGCTGGGGGAGGTGAGGACAACGAGAGAGGAAGGATTCCCACCTCCAGGGACGGAGCTTCCGCGCGTGGCCTTGACGCCCGCGTCCGAGAGCTCGCTCCTGCGCACGGAGAAACCTGGCGTCCCGAAAATGGAGGACCTGGGGGGAAAGGCGGGCGGGGTCCCTCACACTCAGCTGCTCTAGATGATCTGCCCATCACAACTGCATCTGCACACGATAATCATCCCAATCAAGAATACCGAGCTTTCTCTTCGTGGCGTTTATCTTCCCGTACGTGCGGACCATGAACTCCCCAATATTCGTGGCTGTTTTTTTGTTCGGAACCCGAAAACTCGACGGTGGAAAGTGCCCTGGAGGCCCCTCAACTTCGCGAACTGGTCTTTTCTCAGGTTCCACCCCTTGGCGCCCCAGAACAAGCTGCTGCGGAGCACGCTGTCGCACAAAAGTAGCCGCTTCTCGAGCGGCGCGTGGTGCTGGCAGAAGACTGACCTCCACTTAAACCAGGACTTCCACGTCTGAGAGATTCTGTACTCCAGAGCTGTTTCATCCCGTCCGTCATGAGATAATCACGCCCCAAAGAGCTTGATCCCCTCGGTTTTTGGCACCCGTCGGATTTCGTGGCCCTGGATCGAAACGGTTTCGTTCCAGCAGGAAGCCTCAGGAAAGGACGTGCTGGACCATTCACACTCCGAGAAGTCCACCTCGTATCCATCATCACGCAGGGTGTGTAGCCGGTTTTCAGTCACGATTTTCATCTCTCTGTGGGTGCGGCCCAGGATCCAAACATTGTCAGCGAAGCACAGGATGGGAATATACAAATCCTCCTGTCGGTCGGTGGATACTTTCCAGCGGAACCCCCAGTCATACTTCTCGCAGCGCTTGGCGAACTCGTCTATCAGGACGTCAAGTCTGAGATTGAACAGGTACGGCGCAGCAGGGCCCCCCCTGCACCAAAGAACGGGTTCTGCCAACAGGAGCCGAGCACGTAAGGTCATCGAGCGAAGCCGTCGCTGACATCTCGCTTATTTCTCTAAGCCAGCCCGCGAGAACGATCATCGGAACCCCGTGTTTGACGCCGGCTTGAGCGACCTCACCCCGATCAGTGTAGTCGTAGGCCTTCAATATATCCCCTGCAAAAGTGAAGAGAGGGTTCTCTGGGTCCCATTCATGGCATTTCTCGAACAATTGCTTAAGTATAAATATGACCTCTTCAGCTTGAAAATCTTTCCGAAAAGCGGACTGATACTTCGAATGTTGCCGTTGCTCAGGGCTGAGGAGCAGGAGGATGGCGTGACTATGCCACTTGTAAATCACAGGCAGCAGAGTGATGGGGCGCAAGACCGTGATGCTCCCCGACGCGAGGAAACCTTTCTTCGTCAGCAAATTGATCATGTGAGACCCCCAGACGTCGTGGCTCTGCTCCCCGCGGGAGTTCAAAAGTCGATGCTTAAACAAGGCGGCGACGCACTCGAAGGCTTGCTCGGGCAGTTGATTCAGCATCTCCACCACCACCCCATCCTGTTTCGACCCCTGCTTACCCATCTTCATCTTGAGTAGAGCCCCCCTGAACCCACCCGCGATCTAGATGTCTAAAAGCCTCCAATGCGGACGGACTCCAGTGATGATGTATCCACGGCGGGTCCTTCGTCGTTTGTCGTATGGGGTTCGTCGTTTCCTGCGAGGAGGAGGAGGTCGAAGGGGTCGGGTTACCGAGCAGTTCCGAATAGAAGTCCGTCAACATCTTCGATTTCTGTTCTGTCTAGTCGTCGTCGCCGTCAGGGTAACGTCGTCGCGTGTCCAGTTCATTTCGGGAATGCGGGGGCGGGCTTTGAAGCCTCCAGGGAAACGTTTTGTCTTCAGGGCTTCAGTCAGATTTGCCGTGGATCGTATCCTGGAGATCTGTCTTCTAAGTCGGTAAATTTCCTTTGCTAAGTGCTTGCGCATGTGGCTCCCCGCTCCCGCGCGTAGCTGACGCTGCAAGTCACGAACGCGAGCCAAGAGCGGGTCGTCGGCGAACGCCGCACCTGATTTGTGTCTAGGACAGCCTCTTCCACATCGAGACGCAACGCTGGAGATAACGCTCGTGAAGTGGCCCAGGGTCGGTGGAGTTTTTCCGTCCGCGCCCGTGCGTGGCAAAGGTGAGGGAATAGACGACTCCGTGAGGTCCCCGACGAGGAAACCAGGACAGCTGATTTCCAATCTCTTCTGCTGGCGTTGCATCTGTTCGTGGATCGGAAGACAAAGTTGCTGAGCTCCTCCCAGCAGTCGGAGAAACTCCGCTTGGAACCACTCTACCTGAGTAGGTCTAGTCCACTTGGGTACCTCCGAGGCCAGTCGAGATCCCTGCTTAGCTAGGTAATCGGCGTAATCGTTCCCGACGTTTTCGGCTTGATGCGATCGATCCCAGACGATTTGCACCCGAACGTATTATGAACTTGGTGGACTCAATGCCGAACGAGATAAGCTAGTAGAACATTTTCCTCCGGTCGCATCGTGCCCTCAGCGGCGAGAGTCGCATACTTCGCTTCGACGTGTACGATGATCGTGTTGCCCAGCGGGATCAGAAACTGATGATGGTGATGATGGTGGTGATGACGGTGATGACGATGATGAAGATGTTGATGATGGTTGCTGCTGGTGACGACAAGGATAAGGATGATGCTGCTAATGATGATGTTGATGACGATGATGGCGATGATGATGCTGATGATGATGATGATTATGGTAATGATGATGATGCTGATTATTATTATGATTATGATGATGGTGCTGCTGGATATGACCATGCTGATTATTTTTAATGAGGATGATGATGGTGGTGGTGATGACGATTCTGACTCGGTTAATGATGCTGATGTTGTTGATGGTGGTGATGATGCTGCTGATGATGCTGCTGCTGAGGATGCTGCTGATGATTCCGAGGATGATGATGAAGAGGCGGAGCGTACCCAGAAGAGCTCATCCGATGGCCGATCAGATCACCACCCTGGCGACTCCTCGACCTCGGCACTTAAACGAAGGGGGGAACGACTTCGAAAACCTGGCGGCCGAATTCGCGTATCATTACATTCACTATCATCGCTAGAGCTACTGCTTCTGCTGCTACTGCTGCAAACGCTGACATGCGCTGACGACGGCAAGCCTCGCCGCTGCACACTCAGCGGACGCAGGCCTGGGAGGCGACGGAGGCGGTCTCGGCGAAGCTGTAGACGCGGCTCGCCTGGCCGAAGTCGCCGCCCCCCACGCACCCCTGTTACGGGCTTACGGCTAGACCTAGCAGCGCCTACACAATCCCCAGGGCAGACGGCCTCAGGAACCAGATCGCCCCAAGGGCTCAGAACGGGACCCCAGCGGGAGGTCTGGGCCAAACGGTTACCACTTGGAGCCCTGGCGCCGGAGGTCTGGACCAAAGGTTTACCAAAGAAATCGGAGCGCTTGGAGCTGGGCGGGCTACCCTCAATTGTTCGTGGGGAGGCGGCGAGGACGTAAAAGGAGGCATACTGGCCCGAATCCACACTAGAAGAGCCATTATCCAACAATCTGTCGTCATCGAGGTCGATATCGGAGACATTGCCAGCGCTGGAGGACGATGAGGAAGAAGAGCTCGAGGCCGAGCTGCAGGCTTGCCTGCAAGAAGTCACAACTCTCAGCAGCTCCGCTCGGCGCAATTGGCGTTGCTGATCACCTCTCAAAGGCAGCCGTGCCGCCAGCCTCGCCGCGTCTACCAACTTGAGGGCGCCAGATTCTTCAGGCGGGCTCGTGAAAACTTTGGACATCAATCGGCCGTGGTGGTGCATGGCAATCAAGAGCGCCAACTTGCCTTCGCGCGTTCCAAATCTGAAGGCAACATCACTGGGGAGGTCATTCCTCAGCACCGGCGCCGCGAAATGGTGGCACCGTGCGCAGCTAACCACAAAGTGAGATATCGCGCTGCATTTGACGGTTCGTGATCCAGCCGCCCAGGTACGTTCTCAACCCTGTGGCCGCCCAACTCATGGGGACGCTCAATACCACTTCCCGCGGCGCACTCATATTTTGGATATAAACTCCGAAGAGTATGGCAGCTCGTAAACGAAAAAGCTTATCCAGTTGGGGAGGGAAGACGCTGCGCAACAAGATCTGGTAGAAGACGCTCTGCCACTTCGTCTTCGGATAGTGCTGGTCACCCTGCTCATCGCGCGGTCTCTCTCTCTCTGTCTCTCTGTCTCTCTCTCTCTCTCTCTCTCTCTCTCCAGGAGGAGCTTGCCCGTGCGCGTCGGCAACGTGGAGAAACCGAACAGTTGACGCAGTCTATCCCGACCCAGCCAGCCAGTCCAAGCACCTCGCGCCATCGCTCCGCCATCTCGCAGATATGCGTCAGAGGGATGCCCGCGCGCAGCCGGCTCCAAGAACGCGGCAAATGGGGCGCGCCTCCAGGAACCAGGCGCCATCTTGGACGAAAACCAGAGCCCCGCGCTGCCTGTGTCCATCACCACAGCTCTGAGTTTCTTCCATCTCTGACGCCATGATGAGCACGTGACCCGCATTCGAGTGGCAGCCGCCATCGCGTACATGGAAGTAAACTTGGGCCCGCCCCAGTCCGCATGGGCAAAGAAATCCCCCTTCCTCAGCGCTGAACTTAGGGCCCGAATAATTCGCGCAAGAAGGTGGCGTTGCTTTTGGCACTCTCCTAAACGAGAGGAACCAGTTGGGCGATATATCCTAAGACGGC